CAGCTTAGACACTAAACACTCTGAGCAGAAACCCTCAAGCAGCTCAGGGTCCTTACTACACTCTAGAGAAGAAACTGCAAAGAGCTCAGGGACCTCACATCCATGAGACAAACACCTCTCAGAACAGCCCTTGGTACACAGCACATGCTCATTAGGTTGAATGAATGATTCCCTTACTGCAGCAATTTCACTTCTAAGAATGTGGCCTAAAGAAACACTTACATATGTGCACAGAACTGTATGCACAAGAATGGGAGGAGCAAACTGTTTTATTGATTTTTAATATTCTGATTATTATCATTACTATGCATTGATGTGTTTTTCTCCCCCAAAGTATAGGGACCTCGCTCCCCTTGGGGTAGGCCCCATCTGTCCACCTCTGTGGCCCTAGTGTGAGACCCCAGTATGAGGACAGGGGCATTCACCACAAACGTTTGGAAAAGACCTCCCTCCCAGATCCCCATTTCCATAAGAAATGCCCAGTCTTGCAGCTCTTTCAAGATGGTGTTCCTAGAATGAGGTAGTGGCCCTGTCCCCTCTGTTAGCCTCACAGACAGGGGGAGGCTGAGGAGGATGCAGGTTCCCTGGGGAGGATGTTTGGACCTAACCCCTCTCAAGGGGTCAGAATGGGAAGGGACCTGAGATCCATGGAGACCCCCCCCCACCCTGCACATTTGCAGGAAGATAGCCAACTGCAAAGTTAGGGGGAACAGTCCACATAGGATTACTGTCACTACTGACACCAATTGCAAGTTCAAGAGGTTCCCCAAATGACCCTCAGTTTCAATAATTTGCTAGAAGGACTCACAGAACTCACTGCAAGCTGTTACTGGTGTACTCATGGTTACATTTTGTTACAGAGGAAGGATGCAGATTAAAATTACAATCAGCTAAGGGAAGAAATTAACAGGGCAGGGTCCAAGAGGATACCAAATGCAGAGCTTCCAGTTGTCCTCTCCCCAAAAATTCAGGACAGCGTTACTCCCCTCGCATTGATGTGTGACAATAGCATGGAGTGTTGCCAACTAGGAAACTCACCCAAGCCATGGTGTTCAGAGCCTTCAATGGGACTCCTTCATGTCGACACAGTTGCCTGCCCACATGGCTGGTCTCTGTTTCTAACCCTCAGGAGGTCAGGGTGCATGACCCAAAGCCCCCACCATACATCATGTTGTTGGCGCGGCTCAGAGTCCCCACTGTACATTACATAGCTCCTATCTAGACGGATCAAGTCCCCAACACTAAAGCACATTGTTCGTATGGCTGAGTCCCCATTCTAAATTACATAGTTACTATCTGGATCAAGACTCCCAAGCAAACAAAGACATTCCTATCAGGCATAACATTCCAAGACCTAGAGATTATCTTCCAGAAGCCAAGAGCAAAGGCCAGACCTCTCTTTGGGTAAGGTTAAATTATTTACTACAAAACGTACACTGTTATAATAATACACAAATAAGGGGTCGTTAAGGAGAGTTGTTAATACTGTAGAATCACGAATATCAGCTAATATTCACAAAGAATTTATTACACGCCAGTCACTGACCCAAACACTTTACATAACCCCTTAAATCCACAAGCAACCCAATGAGGGTGGGTCTGTAAATATTCCACTTTGAAGATGAGAAATACTGAGGTCTAGAGAAGTTTGTTAAATTTTCCAGGCTCTAAAGCTAGTCTGTAGGAGAAGCAGGATTCACACACTGCACTTTGTGACCCCAGGTGTCCTGCCCTTAAGCAACCTCTACTCTGCCTAGAGTGGTATACCAGATGAACATACATGGTGCCCACATACCCACACGTTACACCAGATGTCTCTAACATCTACGTTGTCATGAATAGTTGTGATCTCATGGTAGAAACAGCTGTTTAACCTCTTCAGTGACAGAACCCATAGAGTGTCCCTCACTGTCCTCCTCACAGGACATCACCACCACCATCAGGGAACAGCCAAGCCCTTTAGCACAAGGTTCAAGATCTGACTCAAGCCTGGCTTAGTTTTCTGTTTATTCTAATCACTCTTCTCCTACATTCATTCACTCATTCAGTAAATAAATACTTATTGAGGGCTTACTACATGTCAAACACTGTGATAAGACCTGGGAATACAGCTATAAACAAAACAAAGTCCCTGTTTCTATGGGGCTTATATTCTAGAACAGGGATCAGCAAACTTTTTCTGTAAAGGGTCAGATAGCAAATAGATTAAGATAAGAGGGTCATATGGTCTCTTTCACAACTACTCAACTCTGCTGTTATAGGCAAAAGCAGCCATATACAATACTTAAAGGGACGACTGTGGCTATATGCTAATAAAAAATTTATCTACAAAAACAGACAGTGGGCCTGTTTTGGCCCATGGGCGATAGTTTGCCCACCTCTGCTCTAGAGATGGGCATTAAACCAATACATAATAAATATATACCAGGTAGTGATGAGTGCTATTGAAAGAAATTAAATATGGTGAGGGGGTAGAGACTGACTGTGGTGTGTAGCATTTTTCCAAAGGAATTGTCCCAGAAGGCCTTACCAGGAAGGAAATATGAAGCAGAGAGACCTGAAGGCAGTGAGGGAATAAGTCATGGCGTTATCTGGAAGCAGAGTTTTTCCAGGTAAGGGAAGCAGCCAGGATAAAAAAACCTGAGGTCAGAGTGCGAATCTCTCCAGCATGACTTCCCCCTGCTCTCTGCTCAGATGATCCCTGTCAGGGATGCTTTCCCTGCCCACCTTAAATATAATCCCTCTACCCCCGGTATACTTTTCCCCCTGACCCAGCCTTATTTTTCTATGTAGCACTTGCCTCTGGTTTGCTATATATTTACTGACCTACTCTATGAAATCAAGGGCTCTGTTGGCTTTGTTCTCTGTTGTATCCTCAGCACCTAGAACTCAGGCACATAGCAGGTGCTCAGAAAATTCTTGTTGAAGGTGGCTGGGAGCCAGGCTCTTAACACACATCACTGAGATGCACAGATACCCTCCTAGGCAGGCATTTTACTGAGACTCAGAGAAGATAGGTGACTTGCCCAAGGTCACACAACCAGGACTCACAGGTTCCAAGCTGTGAAATGAGGTCTGCCCAGGCTCCAAAGCCCTCATGTCCTGGATTATTTGGGGGGGGGGTTCAGTGAGGCTTGAGGGGATATGGACCCCAACATCTGAGGATAAGATGGCCAAACTGTGTTTATCCTTTGAGAGATGGGGACCCATTCCATGGGTGGTGTCAGGAGATAGAAGAAATTCCCTGCAATGAGATCACAAAGCAGTTCAGGGGAGAGTCTGTGATGCTCTGGAGAGCAGATGTGACCCCCAGTCCCAGGTGATGGCCTGAAGGAAGTCGTCACCTACTACTTGAATGTCATCACCTACATGATCTAGGCAGCAAGATGTGGATGAGTTTACAAAAAGTCACGTCACATACACCTCTCATGGTCTTTTTGGACAGTGACCAGACTGGCATGTCAGGAGGAGGGCAGTGATATCTGGAATGTGGCCTTTGATAAAGTCTCTCACAACGACCTCCTGGAGAGACACATGAACTCTGGGAGGTTGGCAGGTTTGTAGAAGCCCACACCATACACATTATAAACTGTTAACACACATACATACATACACACACACACACACACACACACCTAGGTGAATGTAGCTTTGCTGAACCGTAACTGTAGCATAATGATGATCATACCTGACCTGAAAGATCATAGAGAGAGTTCCATTAAATACTGTATTTAAAGCTTCTGGTGCATAATAGGTGACAGTGATAATAGTAAGAGCAGTAGTAGAGATACTTTATAACAGCTGATATTTACTGAGTGTTTCCTTTATGCCAGGTCCTATTTAAGAGCTTTATACTTTCCATATACTTCCCATACTCATTGAATCTCTTCCTACCAGAATCCTTACATCTTTCAGGCTACATTTAAAAAGTACCTTCTTCATGGAATGTGCCCCAATCATTGAACTTGAAAGTGACCTCTTCTTCCTTTGAAAGTTTATGACTTCTCTGTGTACCTGTTGGAACTTCCGGATTCTTCTTTGTCTTAGTTATTTGTGGGCTGCTTCAAGATTATAAAATGTTTTATTCCAAGACCTTGTCACATACATAATTTTCCTTCACCAAGCTTGCATAGTGCCTAGAACATTTGACAGAGTCTAGGCTCAAATGTCTAGGCTTAAAGACCTTCAGAACATTTGGCCCTTCCCCATGTCTCAATTCCCTTTATCTGTCAAAGACAATAATAGTATCACCCCAGAAGGGTTGTTATGAAGAATAAATGAGATAATGTATACTCGTATAAAATGTTTCACATAGTGCCTGCTGTATAATTAACACTCAATAATGGCTATCATTTAATTACTTTTATTATTAATCATATATTTAGAATGATGAATTAATGAAAATAGCAGTATACATCAATAGACACAAAAGCTTGAGTGTCTACTCTGCTCAAGAAGCTTTAAATACAGTATTTAATGGAACCTCTCCACAATCTTTCAAGTCAGGTGTGATTAGCATTGTAGTTACTGTTCAGCAAAGCTACATTCACCTAGTAAACAAAAGGTGTTTTACTCTAGCGCCTTTGTTTTCCACATTCACACACTGGATAATTTATGCCTTGGTCTGTCCTCGGAGAGGCCAGGAGCTTTATTAGCATATACCTAGGGACACGTCAGCCCCACCCGACCCTGTCCACCTCGCATGTTAGAAGGGCTGCACTGTATTCCAGAGGACCAGCCCGTGTAGATTTGAACATCACCGCCCCCCGCCAATCCAGTTTACATTTCAGAATTCTCTGTGGCATTAGTTTAAAATACAGATTCCTGGCATCATCCTAGGTTCTCAGGAGGAACCTAGGAATCAGCTTTTATAATAAATACCCTAGGTGATTTAATATGAACTGTCCTCAAACCATGCTCAGCAAAACAATACAATGGACTCGTCATTCCTCCAGCCGACAGCAGCGACTCCGGGCAGTATTGCAGCGTCCTCCTTCGCAATGACTTCCTACAGCTATCGCCAGTCGTCTGCCTCCTCGTCCTTCGGGAGCCTGGGCGGTGGCACCATGCGCTTCAGGGCAGGAGGCGCCTTCCGTGCGCCCAGGATCCCCGGGGAATCAGGCGGACGTGGCGTGTCAGTGTCCGCCCGCTTCGTGTCCTCGTCCTCCTCCAGGGGCTACGGTGGAGGCTATGTGGGCGCCCAGGCCGGGTCCAACGGGCTGCTGGTGGGCAACGAGAAGGTGACCATGCAGAACCTCAATGACCGCCTGGCCTCCTACCTGGAGAAGGTGCGCGCCCTGGAGGTGGCTAATGGTGACCTGGAAGTGAAGTTCCGTGACTGGTACCAGAAGCAGGGGCCCGCGCGCAACTACAGCCACTACTTCAAGACCATCCAGGAGCTGCGGGACAAGATACTTGGTGCCACCATTGAGAACTCCAAGATTGTCCTGCAGATCGACAATGCCCGTCTGGCTGCGGATGACTTCCGAAAGAAGTTTGAGACGGAGCAGGCCCTGCGCATGAGCGTGGAGGCCGACATCAACGGCCTGCGCAGGGTACTAGATGAGCTGACCCTGGCCAGAGCCGACCTGAAGATGCAGATTGAAGGCCTGATAGGAAGAGCTAGCTTACCTAAAGAAGAACCATGAGGAGGAAATCAGTGCTCTAAGGGCCCAGGTGGGTGGCCAGGTCAGTGTGGAGGTGGATTCCACTCCGGGCATTGACCTAGCCAAGATTCTGAGTGACATGAGAAGCCAATATGAAGTCATGGCTGAGAAGAACCGGAAGGATGCTGAAGTCTGGTTTACCACCCAGACTGAGGAGCTGAACCGGGAGGTTGTTGGCCACACTGAGCAGCTGGAGATTAGTAAGACGGAGGTCACTGACTTGAGGCGTACCCTCCAGGGTCTGGAGATCAAGCTGCAGTCTCAGCTCAGCATGAAAGCTGCCCTGGAAGGCACGCTGGCAGAAACGGAGGCTCGCTTCGGATCCCAGCTGACACAGATCCAGGCTGTGATCAGCAGTATTGAAGCCCAGCTGAGTGATGTGCGCGCTGACACTGAGCGGCAGAACCTGGAGTACCGGCAGCTCATGGACATCAAGACACAGCTGGAGCAGGAGATCGCCACCTACCGCAGCCTGCTGGAGGGCCAGGAAGCCTACAACAACCTGCCCACCACCAAGACCGCCTGAGTCCAGCAGCCTCCTGGGTTTCCTGCGGACCAGCAGAGGGCTGCCCCTGGGTGGGGGCATGAGAGGGGAGGGACCCTTATGTCTGGCTCTCTCTCTGACCTGCCAATAAAGCTTAATGGCCTAAGGAAAACAAAAATACAATGGATGATTGAGTTATATTTAGGTAATTCTATGCCACAACTGTATACTCGGCAAGACTTACTGAAAATGAGGCCTAGATTCTGATTCAGTAAATTTGGAGTGGGGCCTGAATATTTACATTTCTAACAAGTTCCCAGGTGATGCTAAAACCATACTTTGAGGAGCCTAGGCTAAAACACCGCGCTCAGGAGTCATGGGTCAGGTTTCTGAGGCTGCACCAGGGCTCTCAGCTGGGAATACTGCTGTAATAGACTTTTTATGCCCTCCAAGGGAATAGCCATGGAGGCTGCTGGCAGGAATCCCAGGGGTTTCCCATCGTGCATCCCTCTGGAAGTGTGTCATTTTAGTTAGGACATGTGAATCACTTAGTCATAATGCACAGTGCCACCTTTCCCATGTGAAGATAAAACAACTGATCCCCTTTCTCTCATCAGCAGAAACTGTGTTCTAACATATCTATAGACTAATGGAGATTGTCTCATATAACTATATTCACGTTTTTAGCCAATAGCAACAAGCAGTGGGAGCGGTTGGTAATTTCAGAGGTATCAGTGGTTGAGGGATGGTGAAACTGTGACTTGGATTAGGAACCATGCCTGCCTAAGAGGGCTGAACTTTTGAAACCACGTGGAGATTGGCCTGGAAGGAGGAAAGGGATGGCGTGGTAAAGAAAACAGATTTCACAAAATGAAGCAAAACTTGATTTTTACCATTTTGTCCAGGACCATTTTTCTTTTAAAAAGTAATTATACAAGTAGTACATATTTATTATTGAAGATGAAGGTGGAAAAGGAGGGGGAGGAAGAGGTAGAAAAGAATGATTTTAAAAAACTCATCCATAATTCCACAATGTATAGTGTTGATATTTTTTAATGAAAGCCTGTGAGTACATCTTCATGCATCTTCATTTCCTTAGAAGTGACACTTTCACTTAAAAGGGCTATGTACCTCACATAACTCTTTGTACTTGGTGAACTATCTGTGTCCTTAGCCCATTTTTATATTCCTTTTCTTCTCTATTAATAAAGATGCTTTATATATTAAGTACCCTTTTTTAAAGAAATTTTATTGAGAAACAGTGTGTTTTTCCAGGACCCATCAGATCCAAGTCAAGTATTGTAGCTGTCTTCAATCTCGTTGTGGTGGGCGAAGCTCCTTGGCCCATGTGGGGATCAAACTGGCAACCTTGGTGTTATGAGTCTGTGCCCTAACCAACTGAGCTAAACTGGCCACCCCTATTAAGTATCTTTTAAAGATACATCCATTTTTAATTCATCTGGGATTTATTCTGGTAAAAGGCATGAAATATAATCCTGAGAGTTTGCATTTATTTTTTATTTTTATTTATTTATTTTTTAGCTGAGCCATCCTGCTACCTGTTGGCAGCTCAGCGGCTGCTCAGCTCAGGCCGGGACTTGAACAGCTGTTGCTCAGAGCTCAAATTATTGAGCGAGCTCTTAACCAACTGAGCCACTCAGCTGGCCCCTGCATTTATTTTTTATAAACAATGAAACTTTTCCCATCAGCATTTATTGAACAAGTCCCACTTTCAAAAATTACATTATTGAATCCTCATAACCCTGTGACGTATACTCTCATTAGCTCAACCCTGCAGATGAGAAAATGGAAATATAGAAGAGTGAATAGTTTGGTAAGGAGTGGAGCCAGACTTTGTTATACAAGTTATCAATAAACCTTATTCCTGTTAAGTAAATGTCAAGCAGGTCACTTTATTTTATCCCTCAAAGGTAATTGCCTCCCCCAACTGAACTTAGGATCCCACCGTCATTTCTTCCTATCTGTGGGACCTGAACTATTATTAGCTGAACATATCTGAAACTCAGTTTCCTTACCTGTAAACTGTGTTCACTCATTCTCACCTTGCAGGATTTTTAGGGGGGAAAGGACACACTCTGTGTAAAGCATTCAACTCAGTTCTTGTTCCTAGCATTGACTTGATAAATGGTGCCTTTTATCATTACTGTGGTAGCTAAGTTTCTCTAAAACTAACTGTAGTTTGCAGTTATATTTTTATTGGGCATGTGTTCTCCGTGAAAACAAAAGTTTGGGGCAAATATTTGAGGTGCAAACAATAAAGTGGATTACTGGATAATTCCCTTCTCCCTTCCCTTTTTTACCGCTTCTCCTTTCCCCACAGCTTTGCATGCCATGTGCCTTCTTAATGATTACCACTTGCTCCATTTAGAATGAACTCCTTAGTTTCCAAGTGAGAGACTACAGCCAGAGCCTATCTGCTTTGCCAAGACCGCACCCAATTTATATCCTGAGTGCATCACCAAAGTCGCCTGCTTCCAAATGAAGTGATCTTGCCACTCTACCACCTGCTGCTTCTCCTGCCAAGGTATTTCAGAGAGTTTTCCTCATTCAGGGCCTACTCTGTGCACTGAACCAATGCTATTTCACTCTTACACCCATAACCCTAAAAAGGCAAGAACGATCACTATTCTCCCTTTACAAATGAAAATGCTGATGTTCAGAAAGGGTGAGGAATTTTCCCAAGGATACACAGTGGCCATGCTATAAAAGACACTTGTCCGAGCAGAAAAGCATTCATAGTCATGGGGATTAAAATATGAAGGTGGGATGACATCTATGCCCACCATCCCACCGCTGACTTCCCAGCTCTAGGAGCATGGGCTCCTGTGTGCAGTCCTGGGCTCTTGCTAGGAAAGGCCCCCTTTTGGCCTCTTCCTGAAGCAGATTTCTAGTCACAACTGGAGGAAGGGGAATCTCCAAAGGATGTGGGGGCCTTATTTTAATCAGCGAAGTCTAAAGTTTGAGCTTTCTAGAGAGAGTTCGTTCCCCCAAGTTACAGAGTGTTCAGGACCAGATACCTCACTCCCCGCACAAGGACACCTGGTGTCAGGGACACCAAGATTTTGCAGAAGAGCTAAATGATCAGGAATTAGGTACACCACTCTCCATCTTTTGGGCTTTGCCTGGCTCTTCATTAAAACAACAGTTTGGACTAGAATCCAAAGGTTGCTCCAGCTCTAAAATATGAGTATAACACAGAAGAAATAATGCAGCCATGGGTAGGGTGTCAGAACGGATAGGGGCTTTGAAATCAAACCAGCCTATTTGGGAAACTACTTTACTATTTGCTGGGCCTGTGATTTTGGAGAAATTCCTTATTTTCCAAGCCTCATTTTCCTCCTCTACAGAAAAGAGGTGATGTGAACTAATGCGCATAAAGCAATGGCTAGTACATATTAAGCACTTAAAAAATGTTAATCCGTATGCTTTAAGGACACTCAGAGATACATTTACCCCCAAAAGTCTCTCCCACTTGCTCCTTACAACAGTTTTCCTTTCCTACCTGATTCTTAGTCTCACTAGTGGACCACCTTGCTTTGGTGATGCCTCTGGGCAGCCCAGAGTAAATGCCATACTTGCCTGGCACTGACTGCAGCCTGCAACATTTAGTCCCACTGCATATCTTAGGCAGATTAAACTTCTGTAGACACTACTTTCCGTATGGCACTCATTTGCCCCAAATCCTCCAACCTCTTCTGCTTGACTTTTGGGGCCTTCCACAGCCTGGCTTTTTATCTCTCCAAATCCTATCAATTGTTAAAGATCCAGTTCAGTTTTAAAGAGTCTCCCCTTTAAGGCCTTTCTGAACTTTTACTGGACTTGTCTATGAATTCTTATGACAGTGTCAGCACCATAACACACTGTCCTGCCTTGGTCACTGTCACTTTAAATGGAGTAGTAATCACTCCCATGCCAGATATTTAAGCTTTTTAAGGATAAGGACCATGCCTTATAAACCTATATGCCCTTATACCAACCAGTACAGAACTGAACACCTAGAAAATGGTCAATAGAGTTTTCATTGATTGAGTTATTGGTTGTTTTTTTTCCTCTCTGGCCTCGGTGATCTATGTGTAAAATAGCAGGACTGTCAACGACATCTTCTAGCTTTGATGCTCAACAGAGATATGAAAAAAAAGCCCCAAACTTTTGTCAGAAAAAGATTAAAAAATCTTAGTATTTGGCATAAATTGGAAAGACCATGTTCTGAGCTACAATGTTGATGATTTCATAATACTTCTCGTCTTTCTGAAAACTCCAGAAAATTAAGTTACTGCCTCTTCCTTCAGCAAAAGAAAGAAATATCAGAACCTCTGAGATAAAACATCATGTCACTCAGTTGGGGAGGCAACCTCAGGAAGCTTTCCCAGAATTCAGCAACATTGCAAGTTTAATATTTTGCTAGTGGGACATCACTGTTTTTCACACAATAAGTAATAATGAATTTCAGCTGCAAGAGGGACTGCCCCTCTGCTCAAATCGATTCAAAAGGAGCACTGTGCTGTCTCCTTGTCGTCTCAATGTAGAAAACTGGAATTCCTTCCTAGAGTTCGAGGACACTTGTTTTAAAGAAAATGAAAAGGAAAAAAAGGCTCCTTTCTTCTGCAGTGCCCCATGCCTCCACCATTGAATTGGACAGAGAGCAAGTGCTTTTAAAGTCTTGGCCACTGAGGGTAGAGAGAAGAGGACTGGAGATGGACAGAGAACATTGAGAGAGGGTGTAGGAGGTAAAGAGAAGTAAGTTCCTTTCTTAAGTTTAGCCCCTAAAGGGACCCCCCCTAACTTTAATCTATTTCTATCTAATCATGAGAAATTTGTATTTTATTCAAATCATGAGAAAACATCAGACAAACTCAAATTGGGGAACATTCTACAAAACACCTGACCACTACTCTTCAAAAATGTCAAGGTCATGGAAAACAAGGGAAGACTGAGGAACTGTCATAGACCTCAGGAGGGGTGTTAAGGAGATATGACATGATTAAGGTGACAAATGCAATGTGGAATCCTGGAACAAAGGACTACAATGGAAAACCTGATGTGATCTGAATGAACTTTGTAGTTTGGTTAATAGCATTGTATTGGGCTGGCCGAGTGGCACGTTGGTTAAGAGCTGACTTGGGAC